TGGGATACTTCAGACCCATTTGTATAAAAGCCAAATACTTTTTGCCTTACTATGGCCCAGGAATAAATAGAATTAGGTGTCTGCCCTCCTGCCTGCTCAAAGAATAGAAGCATGTCTGCATCCTATTTTACTTGACAGCTTTTCATTTGGTTGTACTTGGCATTGCCATGCCCTTTTTTTGAAGGGCTGAAGAGTCATCTGGTTTTGCCTTTAAAAGCAGAAATAGTTAACATGGGGGAAAATTGCAGTGTCTTGTAGAAATATGAGAGCAAGAGAGAAAAATGGCCAATGCAGTTAACACTAACTGCATTTGGAAAAATGTGGTACACCGATGCTGGAATTGCATTTGGATCAGAACAGGCAAGAATTAAATTCACTGCTTATATTGTTTCCCTTAGACCTTGCTTTTAAACTTAGCTGGTTAAATGCAGATCCATGCTCGTCTTTGTAGTATTGGCTGGGTGACGTTTGAGGCCGGGTGAAATTTTAACATATAAGCTGGTTTTGATGACTGTCGTGGTTCTGTTCTCCTGACAGAGATGATGGTGGCAACATTCCTTTTTTTCTTTTTTTTTTTCTTTCTCTGGGAGAAGCATTACCTTCCTGAAGACAGCAGTTTCCAATTCTGCGTTTGCAACTCTGAAAATAAACCTCTTATCAAATTACTGAGATGAAAACTGGCTGTTAAAAAGAAACCCAACCGGCAGACAGAGCAGGAACAAGGGTCATTCACTGTAAGAAGGTAGAGTTCCCACCTGGATTTGGCACACTGAGCACGTTCAGCCTGGATATTTGTCAGTGCTCTTTTCCTTCCGGCAGTTTCCATTTATTGGCTGTGAGTTCGGGCTTCCCCTCGCAGGACCTCTCGGGGCTCCTGCCTCCAGTTCCCTCCGCTTTGCACTCCCTGTCAGCCTTGCTTTTCCTGGCTCAGAGGGAGTGAAGTCCACTGGATCGGGGGAGAGAGAGAGACAGGAAGGCAGCTTGGCCACAGCACGCCGGGTCCTAGAATCCGAGCGTGGGTGACGTGTGCCACTCTGGCCAAAAAAACGTCCTGGGCACGTGGGCGCGTTGGCGCCGCAGCCGTGGGCTCTGGCCTGGGCAGGGCTCAGCCCAGGGCACACCAAGCTCACTCGGTGGCTCTGGCTGCCTGCTCCAGAGGGGGCTGTGTCGAAGGACACTGCTGCTTGTGTTGGCTTTTTTATTTCCAACACTGAAGTCCGTGGGCTTGTGCAAGCTTGGTCTCTTGTTTTTAAGGTCCTTCTGGAAAAAGGTGACAGCAAAGTGGAGATGGGGCGGTTTCTAGTCTTTGTTGCCTGGGAATAGATGGTAAAACAAGTCCTGCTTTCTGACAGCTCAGTGTCTTGCCTGGAAGTGTTCCTGTGTTCAGATTCTCAGGGACTACACGTTGTTGTACTGCACCTCTGACTTTTAATGAGACTCCTTTCCTTTCCTGTGGAACTGCATAAATCACGGCAAAGTTAGAGACGGAGCCCTGCCTCTGGTGCTGGCTCTGGGTGCCCATTAACCAAGGTGGAACGTAGATCCAACAGAAGGATTTAACCCATGGCCTTGCTTCAGGTGTCCAGTAAGAAGTGCTTTTTCCAAGATAGCCTCTGTCATTCAGGTTTGTCATCTCCAGCAAGAATTTGAAGTAAAAGCATATATTTCAGCTTCGCATGCGTAGATTTTCTCTCTCTCACTTTTGTTTAGCTTTTTTTTCTTAAAAAAAATAAATCTCAGGGCAAGCTTTTGACTGAATTGTGGGCCAGTTTTACCTGGGTACAACCAAATGAAAAACTATCAAGTAAAATAGGATGCAGACGTGCTTTTACTTGAGTGAGGATGGTGGGACTTGGCTTGTTGTCATGGGGGAAACGGGTAGAGGTTTATAATTGAAAATAATATGTAAAAAGCCTATTATGAATTTCTTGATGGAAGGTAAGAGACTCAAAGGGGGATTCTGGCTGCCCTCAGATACGGTACTCAATATTTATGCCTCGGTTGCACCTTGACAAACATTTCACGTAGTTATTGCTTTGCTTGAATATGGAAATATGTTAATTATGGGCTTTATTGCACTGCCTGCTCTTTTCCTCAGCCTTTTCTATTCAGCCCTCTAGGTGGCCCAGCACAATGTGGCGTCTTTTCTTTCAGCGAGCACTTTCCACACTAATAGGGTCCAGGGTGATGTGGAGAACCATGTGCACAAAATTGCTGCACCACCTCCCATCCCTTTGTGGGCATGTCAGGTTAAATTCATATCAGCAGGAGGGTCACTGCCATGACTTTCAATAGCATGAGAAGAGGTGATGACTTCGGACAATGGTGCCACACTCTCCAGTTGGAGACACTTGCCTCACCAGTTGTAGCAGTTAATTAATATGCTAAAAATAGAAGCCAGTGATACAAATCGCTGCCTGTTGTACAACAAAGACTGGGCATGTGTAGCTTTGATAGCCAAGTTTATGGTGCTTGTTATGGAGGGAAGTTAGTTTAGAGCTAGAGGCAATGCAGGACTTTCTGGATGCTGAGCTTTAGTCACTCCGGGCCTCTGGCCATTTGCTCGCTGTCTCATTTGCATTATGAATGACATTAAGGGAACTAACAAGGTTATTGGGCATAGAAATGTTCTCATGTGACCCTGTGTGGAAGCAGACCTACAGCAGTGCTAGTTGGCAGAGGCACTGTGGCTCTTTATTCAGCTTCCTAGGAAGACGGTTTCTGGGAGTAGATATAAAATCAACCACGAGAAAACCAGCGTTTGGATAATGTGAAGGTCTTGGTGCAAGCCACTAGGAGGGAAGGAAGTTCAGGGGGCAGGCTGAAGCTGTGTCCTTCACCCAGCCTGCCGTGCCTGGCCGAGGCTGACCACTGAGTGCAGGACACAGTGGCTCCCTGTTGCTTGGGTCTCCCCATCAGCCACTTGGAGCTGGGTGAGGCTGCTCCATCAGGGCTCGGTGACCATGCACGAGGGTATGGGTCCATCTGGGCTTCCTTCTGTGGCTGTTTCTCCCTGTTTCTGCCTCAGATGATGGGCGGGAGAGGGTGACATTTGGTTCTCACCCACTGCATCATAGCTTCCATAAGGACTGTCCAAACACCAGTTTTTTAAAGAAATTAATGGGACTGCTGAGGACTCAGTCTGTATAGATGAGAACAATTTGGGGCGACACTAGGTCTCATCCATAAGTATTTGAACATTCTTAAATTTTACAGATGTTTGTTATTTGCTCTGTGGACCAGGAGGAGACTCTGGACAGTCACACATGCACATAAACATTTGCAGCTTTTATAAGAGACTCTCATTGCCAGAGTCCTTTAACCATCCTGCTCTTCATGTTCAACTTTGTAAACTGGTGGCCCACCAATCACATTTCTGTTGTAGAGCCACTGGCTACCAGATCAACTCACAGGAGTGAGCTACTGCAGCAGTCACCCAGAGCCAAGTTCTGGGGCCTCCTGTCAGTAGAAATGAGTAAGAGGAGAGGCAAAATGGCATAAAACCAGGGCTTTTTTGAAGGGCTTAAAACCCCATTGTTTTTTGTAATAATAGCAGTTCCTTGCTTCAGTTGCTGGGAATGCTCCTTCAGAAGAGTTTGTCAGATTGTGATGCCTGCTGGGCTTCCTTGTTGGGAAGGGCCATGGGTTTCAGCAGTGTGCAGTGAGGGGCTTGCAGGTGGTCACCTCCTGGTGACATAGTGAGACAAATAACTCCATGTCAGGGTTTCAGCTCCTTCTTTTCTCTCCCCACTTCTAACTTGCCCCATCCAGTCCATCTGGATGAACTTTGTGACCTGACTCCCATTCTTACCTGACTGCTTCATTCCTCTTGGGTCCCAGGGACATACTCCAGCCTGGAGAAGAACATGCAGTCTCCACAGCTATTGCTCTGTCTGCCAGCTCAGAGGCTGGGAGGCCCAGAAAAATCTCCCATGTGTCTACAACTTGAGTTTATGCAGACAGCAGCAGGATTACAGAATTCATTCTGGTTGCACAGTGAGGACTTGGGATCTGCCCTTAAGAGAAGGCAGTTTTCTGCAACAATCTGTTTCTATAAATAGATGGAATATATCGATTGTGTTTTATTTCATATTAAGTATTACTTGGGTCTCCTCTTCTTTCTACTCCAGTTCTCCCAACTGAAAACTGGTAGAGAAGGGTTTATTTAATGAGTTATTGTTGAACCAAAGAGCTTGCAAACCAGGTTTCCTGTAGGAAGATATCAGCAACCTAGAAGATCTTCTGGAAATGTGAGACGTGCTGATAAACCAGTGCCTATGGCAGTATCATAAAGCATGAAATTGCCTTGTAAAGGTCACAAGAACATTTAGTTCTAATTTCATTTCTCTCCTGCTCTCCAGAGATGTACGAGAGGAAGTTTTGAAATGTATTTTCAGCGTGTTTATTAAGAAAATGCAGTAATGACCGATGTGATCTTTGTTTTTTTCTTACGTAGCTATGGGCTACGTATTCTCACTTCCTAATTGCAAAGGTGGTAAAGATGAACCGTTAATTAAAATCTCTTTCCCGGACAGGTCTTTTAAGTGCTCGAGTTAATTAAGTCTTTAAAAACTGACGTGACTCAAAATCTCAGTTTGGTCCTTTGTGATACCTTATTCCATTTAGTGTTCCGGTTATACAGAGAGCTCTAATGTGACCGAGACCCAAATTTCTGACACGAATTACAGAAAGCCTCCTTCTTCTCTTTCCTTTTCTTTAAGACTATTAAAAATTGTCCAGGTTCACTTTATGCATCAGTGAGAATAAAAGACCGAAACGCATTTCCATTTTAATTTGGAGATCTGTTACCCCTCCTTTGACTGCTTGTGATGAGCAGTGTGACTAATGAGCTCCACTGGACCAAAAAGAGTGGCACTTTTCCCTTTCTTCTACTTCCCCGTTTTTTATTCTTGGGCATGTTTTTTTTATGTTGCTTGCCTCTGATGTTTTGCAGCTTTTCTGATCTGGGCTTGGACTAATTCCCAGATCTGTTCTTGCAGATTTTAACTTTGCCATGTACCCACCATCAATGATAGCAACTGGAAGTGTGGGAGCAGCCATCTGTGGCCTTCAGCTCGATGACGGAGACAGCCTCACGGACCTCCTGGCCAAGATCACAAACACAGATGTGGTGAGTGTCCTGCATTCCTCTTTCCTTTCACTTCTGAGGGTGCAGTGGAGAACTGTGTCATCAAACCCAGCCTGATCCTGAAAGCCCAGGGGAGCTAGAGTGAGTGAGTAGCAGGCTTGGACCTGTCACCTTGGTTGCAGTGCTTTGAACAGCCAAAGCTCCTTGGCTTCCTGGGATCAATTTTCATTCATGCTTTGTTGGCCAGCTTGGTGGGGAGAGCCTGCTCTGACCACCCTGGCTGCTGGGCAGGTGTAGTGGGGAGCCACCTTGAGTACTGCCCTGGGCGGTGGGTGAGCAGGCACACAGCATGCCCCAGGGCACAAGGCAAACCAGTATGTGCACTAGGCCTGTGTTGGCAACCTCAGAACTGCTCTTCTTGCCCTCACTGAGGTATCATCTAAAAATCCCTGACCTGAAGGAAGTGAGTAACAAGCTACTGCTCCGTCCCTGGCACAGGGTGAGGCAGGTGCAACCCAGATGCCGAGGGATTTGTCTCACTAAGCTGCCCCATGAGGAGCATTTCTTGGCTTTTCAGAGAGTCCTGTCATTAGTAGGAGAGATGACTCTGATGCCACTTCAGCAGTGCTCAAACTCACTTGAAAGTGAGCTTTGTGGGCTGGGGACAGCTTCTAGTGAGGACATCAGAAACTGCCCAAACCTTACAGCTCTGCCTGGCAGTATCAGCAGAAAGCAGGGAGGACTGACAGGAGCACTCGGGGTGCCTTCCCCACAGTGGGGGTGCCTCTACTGCTCTGCCCCCACGTCTGCAGGGAGAGCCTATGCTCCTGCTAATCCACAACGCTCAGGATGTGGATAAACAGGAGTTTGATCTCCTGCAAAGCTAACAGGTTTTGCTGTGATAAAATTCACTCCAAAGGAAGCAAATGAGTGAGGCTTTCTGAAGTGCAGCCCGCTAATAAGAGAATGCTTTTTTTACCATGGAAGTATTTTCTGATGTGTCGTCCTCAACATGTGCTAGCTATACAACTTCACTGCTTTTGCTTTTCAGAGTAAATACACTGTGCAGTTATCAGATCTGTGACAACGTTGTCAAGAGAAAGTGTGGTTTTTTTCCAGTCAGTAATCTGCATTTTGATCAAAAAGGAATATTCCATTTAAACAAAAAGGGAAGAATTTCACCATTTCTCTTTTTCATTCAATCAAATTAATCCTAATTTTCAAGTACGTTTCTGGGGCTTCCCATTTCTTTTGGTTGGAACTGGGTTTTGCACAGAAAGTGGACCATTTCCAATTCTGAATGCTTATAATGTAAATCAGGCTTGGTTTTGCTCATGTGTGCCCACACAACTGTTCACGTCCTTGTGTTTCAAACCCGCCCTGGAACTGATGGAGCTTAAAGAATGGGGGAAGGAATACTTGTTGTTTTGGAGTTGTTGGGGGTCAGGGGAGCTTGCTTCGTTTCTTTGCTGGATCAGTTCTCTCGTTAGATTTCCTGGAACAGCTTCACAAGACAGCTGGGAGAGCTGAACACTGCACAGGGCAGGAGATGAGGACAAGAGATATTTCTGTAATGATCATTGTGAGCTTCTTGTACTACAGCTCTAGAAATTACGACCTGATGGATCGACTTGGTCATCAGCAGGACAAGGGTAATGATGAGAATGAGGAAATAACAGCATGGGGTGAGGAAAGGGAACACAAATAGCCCTTATGGTGTCTTGGGAGGGACAGGGAGGCTTGTGGAGTGCAGGAGAGAGTCATTGGAAAGTTTCCAAGGTTGGTACCTGCTTCTGCCTTTGAGAAGCACGTCACTGCCCACAACAATCCCTGGGTCATCAATTTGGATGTTCTTTTTGAGGACAGAAGCAAGTGGTGCTCAGATCCTACCAAAACCCAGACCCAGACCCCTCAGCACAGCTCATTGCTTTGTTTCTCTACCATCTGATTAACGACACGGTCTTTCCTTCAGCAGACCATGTTTCCTGTATCAGTGTGCTCCAGATAAACTTCTGATACTGTTTCTACAGTATTTTAGCAGTTCTCAGAAGGGAGATGCCAAGGTAGCCCTTGCTGGTGTATTTGTATGTGATGTGGTTGGTAGCTTTTGATCAACCATTGAGTAGCTGGATGCTGTCTTCTCTGGATATAGCAGAGAGTTGTTCAGGGTGGTTCTTCATCTCATCTAAGAGTTTCCCTGTGTAGTCACAAGGATCTTTTCCCTTCTTGCTCTTTTTTAGCATGGACAGGAGGTTGTGGTAGCAGTGACAACATGGTGCTGACAGTACTCAGCTCTTAGGTGAGGGCAGGTGAGCTCAACACGTGGACCACAAGGGCTGTGGTCATTGGGATCTTACAAGATGTTTAGCTGTGCCTCACAATTCTGTGGTCACAGGGAAGAGCATTTCCCTCCCTTCCCTGTTATTTTTGACAGCAGAGAGATTTTGAGCATCCCTTTCAGATGCAGCCCTTGCTGCAGAGATCTGTTCCTCCGGCACCTTTCACTTGGGCAGTTTGTTGCAGTTTGTGCTGCATGGGGTCATGTTCAGAGGGATTTTCTGGATTCTCTTAATTTGGTATTTTCTGCTATACACTTAAAGCACCTTTTCCTTATTATAGCAGATACTGAAACTTTCTCAGGCATCCCAGTGCTTCCTACTGCAAGGCCCTGTTGCAGCATTTTGCAAATTGGACTAACTTTATCTCTGGTGTAGAATTTTTCTATACTGATTGCTTTAGTCTAAAAGAAAATACCAACCAAAACAGCTTAGTAGTCCTTACGTGGTTAGAAGAAAAAAAAGATATTTTTTTTCATTGGAAATTTCTTCAAGCCTTTTCTTTGAAGTTCAGCAGATGGGTTTTTGTCAGAAATGTGCTTTTTTGCCATCCTGGTAAAAATCTTCCCAGATCTGATGGAGTTTATACTCTCTTCCCAAATAACAATGAACTCCTTAATGTTTTACTCGTCACATTTTCTCTCCAAGAGTCTTTTGGCACTGGGTAGGGACATGGTTTCTTCCCTTTGCCCCTGGTCTCAGCCCACAGCAGCACAGACCACTGAGGAGAGTCTCACTTGGCCCCCGAGCCGGAGAACACTGGGGACAAAAAGGAGCTTCTGGATGATTTAATCACTGGAAAATTTAAGTCTTTGCAGAACTTGAAGGTACTGTCATTTTTTTCAGTATGCTTCTGTTGTGGCAGAAGTGGCCTTAACTCAGAGTCTGTCTCCTGCAAACTTTGAAGTCTCAGCCCAAACAAAGGTGGCCAAACTTTTAAACTTGGGCAAAATAGTGTATTTTTCATTAGCCAGCTATTAGGAAACGGGAGAATGCAAAGGGGCCCAGTACTGGAAACTTTGATCCCACATGCTAGATCTTGAGAGAGAGAGAGGAGCACCTGAGAACTGGGTCTCTGGGAAGTGTGGGGCAGTCTGCGCAGTAGGTAGCAACACCAGTCTCGTCTGTAAAATGGCATTGTTGGAAAAAATGTACTGGCTGGATTGTGTAAGAGTTAGCCCAAGGCTGTGTTAATGCAGAGTAGGCTATTGTAATATATTTTACGCTGGAGCTTAATTAAACTTGAATGAACAGCTTCAGTTCTTTCACTTCCCAATTTTTGATGCCCGAGAGCTGTTCCTGCAGCGGCACAATTAATTCATCATCACTGTGTGAATGATTTTGTTTTCAAAGGGGAGGTTAGGAAAGAGGAAGAAAGGAGAGCTCCTAGGCTTGAAGAGCATCACGTGGTGGAAAAGCGAGGGAACTCACAGAAATTGCAGTGCTACAGAGGAAAGGTTTTCACCTCCCACCCCGAGCCTCCTGGTAGCCCACAGGAAACAGCAGAGACCTGGGGAGAGTCCTTCCCAACCAAAGGGTCCCAAGGGCTTCTGCTTTTTGATTTTGCTGTGTGTGATTGCTTAGTGTGGAAATGGGTGATGGGAGTTGCTCATTGGCTTTCCGAAAAATTCACTGTCTGAGGTGAAGCATGAAAAATTTTAGCTGCAAAGTTGCTAGTGTGTGGAAATAGAGAATGATAATGAAATCCTGATGCAACTTAACTGCAGGGAGCTTTTCTGAACTTTTACTGTTGTATAATGATAATTTGAGGGTGCTATCTGTTTGCTAGGAAATAGCAGCATAAACCAGGAGGCTAAAATCAATGGAGTTATTTTAGATTTACACTAGTGTAACTAAGACTGGAGTTTGGCATTTAGTGCTATGTTTTTAGTGGATGTTTCATTAAGAATTGGACCAAAAATATGTGATTAATAAACAGCATTTAAATTAGAACCCAGCTGTAGGGTAAGCAAACAACGAACACACGAGTGTTTCTTTCAAGAACACATTGGTGTCAGCTACCCTTGTATGAAGCCAAAGCAGCGCTTCAGACTTCAGACAAGACAGTGCAAGGCACCCTGCCAGTGTCATTTTAGGCACAGCAGTTAGTTCTGATAAATGGCTGCCCTGGGCCATTTGGTGAAGGTTGAATCACAGTCTGAAGAGACACATGCAAACCTTGGTTTCATTCCTCCTTCTGCCTACCAAAATAAACACCAGGGAGCTACTCTTGGAGAAGCTGAGAAGCTCAGCAGCCTTATGCTTAGTTAAAAGTAGCTCTGTGTGGTATATCTGAGTTGCCTTTTCAGATCATTATTGTCCCAAAGAGTTCTTAAGAGCTAGTCCCACACAGCTTCACACAGCTCTGCAGGACAGAGATTGCATGTTCTGATCTGTATTGCTGCCAGAGGGTGGGAACGTTTCCTTTGCTGTTTCTTGAAGAGGAGAGGCTGGTGGGCAAAGAGTTAACAGACCTACTCACTGGAATCTTCTGAGCTCCCTGCGCATCTCTTGGTGGGTCTTTGCAGTGGAAAAATAAACAACTGAGGAAATCAGGAATTTCCATAGCATCCCAGACGAGTGCTCCAGTATCCTGTCCCTGGTGGAGCCAGATGCTTCAGAGGAGGATGCAAGTGTCCCCTCTGTGTACAATTACGGGATGTGAGGAAGGATAGCTGAACACATAGGGCACATTTTGAGACCTTG